AAGCACTAGAAAAGGACATCATAATTGGTAAAGTGGACAGTTAATGAAGGTGAGGGAGGCCCTCGGTGAGATGGGCTGACACAGTGGCTGAAACAATGGATTCAAACATAGCAGTGATTGTGAAGATGGCGCAGGACTGGGCAACGTTTAGTTCTGTTTTATAAATGGTTGCTGTGGGTCAGAGTCGACTCCACGGCAACTAATATAAACAACAATATTCCATGGTGTGTATATACCTCATTTTGCGAACCCATTCATCTGTTGATGGACACTTGGGTGTTTCTACCTTTTGGCTATTGCGAATAATGCTGTGATGAACACTGGTGAACATCAAGCCTGTCTCTTGATCTCTGTATCCCCAGCCCTGTGGTCACAAATGGTTAAACGCTGGACTACTAACCATACTACAGTTCAAACTCACCCAGAAGTGCTTCAGAAGTAAGGCCTGGTGATCTGCTTCCGAAAGGTCACAGCCTTGAAAACCCTATGAAGCAGTTCTACTCTGACACATATTGGGTCACCATGAGTTGGGATCAACTCCGTGGCAACTAACAACAACAACATCCCCAGGCCTGAGGACAGGGCTTGTTCTCAATAACTATTTGGGGATTGATGGTTGAATAAACAGAGAAATGAATGACTCTATTCCCTCTTTATAACCTAGGGATGAAGCTAAACCCCCCTGCTACTCCATGGGTAAGTATTTTATCTACTGGGTGCCAGGTGCTGTGCAGGAAGGTGTGGAAATGACTTCACCCTGCCCTCAGAGAGTTCTATAGCTACTCACCCAGTGTTATGAACTGCATTGTCCCCCCAAATATATGTTGCCATCCTAACCCCTCTACCTGGGTTAAGGAGCCCTGGTGGCACAGTGGTTAAACACTGAAAGGTTAGCAGTTTGAACCCACATAGCGGCTCTGCAGGAGAAAGACCTGGTGATCCCAATTTCGTAAAGATTACAGCCTTGGAAACCCTATGGTGCAGTTCTACTTTGTCACATGGGGTGGCCATGAGTTGGAATCGACTTGATGGCAATGAGTTCTTGTCTACCTGTGGGTGTAATCCAGTTTGGAAACAGATTTTCTTCATTATGTTAATGAGGTCATACTAGCATAAGGTATATTCTAACCCTAACCACTTCTGAGTTAATAAGGAGCAGCGTAGACGCAGAGACAAGCATGCACACACTGGGGGAAAGACATAAACTATCTAGTGGAGGCAGAATGGACAAACCCAGGAACTCCAAGGATTGCTGGCTACTAGAAGCTGAAATGAAGTCCCTGGGTGGCGCAAATGGTTAATCGTTGGACTGCTTGCCGAAAGGCTGATGGTTAGAACCGACCCAGAGGTGCCTCAGAAGACAGGCCTGGAAATCTGCTTCTGAAAGGTCACAGCCTTGAAAACTCAATGAAGCACAGTTCTGCTCTGACACACTTGGGGTTGCCATGAGTCGGGGTCTACTTGATGGCAACTAACAACAACAGAAGCTGGTGCCGTACCCTAAATTCGGACATCTAGGCTCCTGAACTGGGAGAAATTACACTTCTGTTCTTTAAAGCCACCCAAGAGTGATATTGGGCCCTGGTGGCACAGTGGTTGAGAGCCTAGGCTGCTAACCAAAAGGTCGGCAGTTAGAATCCACCAGCCACTCCTTGAAAACCAAATGGGGCAGTTCTACTCTGCTCTACTCTATAGGGTCGCTAGGAGTCAGAATCAACTCACCAGCAATGAGCTTGGTTTTTTTTAAGGGGGATATTTCTGTTATAGCAACACTAGGGTTCTGAGACACCTGGGTTCTAGAAACTTCCCAACAACCTGACTGCCCCTTGATAATACAAAATTCCCTTTCCCCCAGGTCTCACCGTCTGATCTCCAGCTGGTGCCACCTTCCCCAAGGTGGGAAGGGAGGAAGGGGCTCACCCCTCACTGCACCCTCATGTGTGCCGTATGCACGCACACACATGCACACACCCACAATTTGAAATCACTCACAATGCGCTCGAACTCCTTGGCCTGCTTCAGCTCCCGGGGGAAGCCATCGATGACGAAGCCCCGGCTCTCCGGGCGGGACAACAAGTTGTCGCTGACCATGTCAAGGATGACACCCTGGGGAGAAAGGGGGGATTTGGTGTCAGGGGCCCCTCCCTCCCCTAGCCCGCACCCCGGGGAGAGCAGTTTCTCCACAGTCACCTTGGCAAATTCTCTTCCTCCATCTGGACCTCGGATGAAGATGGTGACGCCTGCCCGCCCAGCATCCTGGGTCCCAAGTCTGTTCTGGTGTCCTGGGGGCGTCCGAGACCCACTTCTGGGCATTGGGCTTGCCAACTGTGGGCTCGGGGGGCATCTACCAGGTGCCCAGCTTGCCTGATCTCACTGATCATCACCATAACATTACAGGTAGGTACTAGTGTTACCTCCACTTAAGAAAACCGACCCCATTGCTGTCCAGTTCTCTCCAACTCATGGCGACCCCATGTGTGTCACAGTGGAACTGGGCTCCATAGGGTTTTCGATGGCCGATTTTTTGGAAGTAGACTGCCAGGCCTTTCTTTCGAGTCGCCTTTGGATGAATTCGAACCTCCAACGTTTTGGTTAGCAGCTGAATGCATTAGCTGTTTACACCACCCAGGGACTCCTGAAACCAAACCAACTACTGTGGAGTGGACACCGACTCATGGTGCCCCCATGTGTTACAGAGTAGAACTGTGCTCCACAGGCTTTTCTTGGCTGTAATCTTTATGGAAGCAGATCACCAGGCCTTTCTTCTGCGGTGCTACTGGGTAGGTTTGAACCATCAACCTTTAGGTTAGTAAACCACTGCTGTCGAGTCGATTCTGACTCATAGTGACCTGATAGGGCTTCCAAGCCTGTAAATCTCTACAGAAGCAGACTGCTACGTCTTTCTCCCGTGGAGCCACTGGTGGTTTTGAACTGCCTACCTTTCAGTTAGCAGCTGATTGCTTTAACCACTGCACCACCAGGGCTCCTGCTGTCGAGTATAAACCACTTGCGCACCCCCCCCCAGCGACCTACCTCCATTTTACAGGGGAGGAAACTGAGGCACAGAAGGTGATCGGCCCAAGGTCACCAAGGGAATAAATACTAGATCATTTTATTGGTTTTCATGGTCCATAAGGTTTTCATTGGGCTGATATCAGGTCCTTCTTCCTAGTCTGTCTTAGTGTGGAAGCTCTGCTGAAGCCTGTCCACCATGGATGACCCTGCTGGTATTTGAAATACTAGGTCGTATACCTTCCAACATCACAGCAACATGCAAGCTACCATGGTATGATAAACTGACAGAAGCATAGTGGAAAAACCTGTACGTATATGCCAACAATCACGAAGATGGCACAGGACTGGCAATGTTTTATTGTGTTAAGCATCAGCTTAACAGGACCTGGAGGTGACTCGATGGGAACAACAGGAATTTTACTGAGGACTCCCTGGGTGGTGCAACTGGTTAATGTGATTGGCTGCTAACTGAAATGTCGGAAGTTTGAGTCCACCCAGAGGTGCCTTGGAAGAAAGGTCCGGCAATCTACTTCCAAAAAACCAGCCATTGAAAATCCTATGGAGCTCAGTTGTACTCTGACATACATGGGTTCGCCATGAGTCAAAGTCAACTGCATAGCAACTGGTTTTCAATTATGTTGAGCGTATCTTAAGTGCCAGGTGTTAAAAATAAAATTTCCACAATATTAAACTTTTGTATGAACTCCTGAGGTTTATTTTTCAGTTCATGGACCAGGGAACGTCTGGTCTGGAAGTCAGAGTTCTGAAGTGCAGAAGGCTTTGGTGACGGCAGACAAACAGGAACAAGGAAGCTATACTGGGCAATTTTTGGATTGGCTGGCAGCCATTTTCTTTCCTTATTGAGATTCAGGTTACATTTTGAACCAACCAAGTCCTCATTGGTCAGTTTAGGTTTCTGTTTCCGGGAAAGTCAATTGACCTGGATTTTGGCTCCTGGGAAGGTTAGACATTTACAATAGAAACGTATGTTTCAGTTTGCTGATAGGCTCCGTGCAAGTGACTCAATTTTGAGGCTCTGTTGCTATGAGTCAGAATCCACTCGATGGCAATGGGTTTTGGATTGTCAAGTTAGGAGCCCTGGTGGCACAGTGGCTAAAGTGCTTGACTACAACTGAAAGGTTGGCGGTTCGAATCTACCAGCTGCTCCATGGGAGAAAGATGTGGCAGTCTGCTTCCATAAAGATTACAGCCTTGGAAACGCTATGGGGCAGTTCTACTCTGTCCTATAGGGTCACTATGAGTCATAACCGACTCGATGGCAACAGGTTTGGTTTTGGTTTACGGTCAGGTTAAGGAGCCCTGGTTGCGCAATGGTTAAGCACTCAGCTGCTAAAGGAAAGGTTGGCAGGTCCAACCCACTAGCTGCTCCAGGGGAGACAAGACCTGACGATTTGCTCCTGTAAATATTTCAGCCTAGAAAACCCTACGGGCAGTTCTACTCCATCACATGGGGTCTCTGTAAGTTGGAAGTTGACTCCACAGCAACTCACAGCAGTTATTGGAATCTCTGGGTGGTGCAAATGCATAACGAGCTCAGCTGCTAACCAAAAGGTTGGAGGTTCAAGTCCACCCAGAAGGGCTTTGGAAGAAAGGCCTGGCGATCTTCTTCTGAAAAATCAGCCATTGAAAACACTATGGAGCTTAGTTCTACTCTGACACAGATGGGGTGGCCATGAGTCGGAACTGGCTCCACGCAACGGGTTTTTAATTTTATTGTGTCTTAAGTGCCAGGCATTCTGTTGAGCACTTTATAGAATGTTGTCATCCAACTCTCACTACAGCCTTTTGATGGGGGTCCAGCTGGTCTCCCCATTTGACAGATGAGGCAATGGAGGCTTACTGCAGTGAAGCAACCACCAAGCTGGTAGCCACGCCTTTCACATCCATCCATTCCAACGGGGCTTTCTTGGGAAGCTTGTCCCGATGTGCCCCATCTTCCCCTGCCCCCACCCGGGAGTTCTCACCGTGGGCACCAGGAGTCCCTGCAGCATGATGTCGCGGATCTGCCGTCCCCGCCGCGTGCCCCGTTGGGCCTCCTGCCGCAGCAGCTGGCCCAGCCCCACGTGGCAGAAACCGTACTTAGTCGCCATATTTTTGCACTGCGTCCCTTTGCCACAGCCTGGGCCGCCCATCACGAAGATGATCAAGGGGGACTTGAGGACATCTAGAGTGCCCAGGAAAGAGGGGGTGTTAAGGATTGGATTGTGTCCCCCACAAAATACGCGTTGAATTCCAAACTCCTGTACCTGTAAACTGGACTCTGTTTGGAAATAGGACTTTCTCTTGTTATGTTAATAATGCCATGGAAGAGTAGGGAACCATGGATATCATTGCTGATGTCAGATGGATCCTGGCTGAAAGCAGAGAATACCAGAAAGATGTTTACCTGTGTTTTATTGACTATGCAAAGGCATTTCACTGTGTGGATAACATTGTGAAGAATGGGAATTCCAGAACACTTAACTGTGCTCATAATGAACCTGTACATAGACCAAGAGGCAGTCGTTCGAACAGAACAAGGGGATACTGCGTGGTTTAAAGTCAGGAAAGGTGTGCATCAGGGTTGTATCCTTTCACTATACTTATTCAATCTGTATGCTGAGCAAATAATCCGAGAAGCTGGACTATATGAAGAAGAACATGGCATGAGGATTGGAGGAAGGCTCATTAACAACCTGCGTTATGCAGATGACACAGCCTTGCTTGCTGAAAGTGAAGAAGACTTGAAGCACTTACTGATGAAGATCAAAGACTACGGCCTTCAGTATGGATGACACCTCAACATAAGGAAAACAAAAATCCTCACAACTGGACCAATAAGCAACATCATGATAATCGGAGAAAAGACTGAAGTTGTCAAGGATTTCATTTTACTCGGATCCACAATCAACGCCCACGTAGTAGCAGTCAAGAAATCAAAACATGCATTGCATTGGGCAAATCTGCTGCAAAAGACCTCCTGAAAGTGTTAAAAAGCGAAGATATCACCTTGAAAACTAAGGTGCGCCTGACCCAAGCCATGGTGTTTTCCAGAGCTTCATGTGCGTGAAAGCTGGACAATGAGAAAGGAAGCCCAAGATTACAGCCAAGAAAACCCTATGGGGTACTTTTACTCTGTAACACATAGGGTCACCATGAGTCAGAATCAACTCAATCAGCAAGTGGTTTTTATAAGGGATAAATGAAATGTCCAAGGCTACCATGCATATCTATGGAGTCTGTAGTTTTAATTTTTGTGTCTTGTCTTCCAACTCCTATGCATCCCTCAGGGTCCAGCTTAAATCTCTCCTGTCCCCCATGGAAGCTCTATTTTCTGTGACTGTCTCGCCCACTAGTTTGTAATCTCCAAGAGGGCAGGGAGCTGGTCTGACACATTCACAAAACTCAAATATTTCCTAAGCGAATCAAGGAATGGCTGAACAGTGAGCACGCGCAGCTGTGTTTCTGCCTTACAGGTGATGGGGGTGTGTGCACATCTGTATGCAGGATGGTGCCCTCCACGGCCCTCTTCTCCTCCCCCCAGTAAGCCACCACCCCCGCCATGTTACCCTTCTCCTGGGGCCTCAGGGGCCTGCCCATCTGGGGCAGCGAGGAGTTGCACAGACCCATCTCGCCAGTGGCCTCAGCGATGGTCGCGCCCCATCTCCACCCGGGCCCTCACCCCTTCTGCCTCCGCTCAACGTCACAAGGGCCCCTGACCCGACCAGTCTGCCGAATGAGGGGGGGTCCCCCTGGGGTAAACCCCATTGCCGTCATGTGGATTTCAACTCATAGAACTGCCTCACGGGGTTTCCAAGGAGCGGCTGGTAGATTCGAACTGCCGACCTTTTGGTTAGCCACGAGCTCTTAATCAGTGCGCCAGCAAGGCTCCTCCCCCTGGGTAGGGGGAGAAACGAACCCCAAACAAGGCCAGGTGGAGACACAGCAAGTCTGCGGGGAAGAGTGGCCTCGGTTCCTATGGTGACGCGGCCTCCCCGGACTTGCTTCCTGAGCGAGCTGGCGCATGCGCAGAGCGGCTAGCATCCATCTAGGAGGGACAGTTTCCTCCCTCCCTACCCAGGATGCCCCGCGGTCTTTAGTGCTGACGTCACGGAGGAAGGCGTTCCCACGGGTCATGATTAGATTAATTACTCTCCATACAGTGAAATACAGAGGCGCGAGGGCAGAAGGCGATTCCCTGAGTTCTGGCTAGGCGTGCGTTTGCTCCGTCTGAAGAAGGGAGAGGGCTAAGTGTCAGCGCGTTGAGGGGCCCGCGACCAGAGACGACGTTGCCATCGCGACGCGGACCGCTGCAGGTTTCGATTCCGGGTTAGACGGCGGCGCAGGCGTAGACGGGCCAGGAGCCGCGGGCCAAGGCGGACTGAGCCGCGAGCGCGGCTTTCCGGTGGTCGGTACGGGGGCCGGCGGCGCCGAGCGCTTGAGGTCCTCGTTCAGGGACCGAACCCCGGGAGTGAGGGACGCGGACCCTGGCGGAGGCGAGAAGGAGGCCTCAAACCTTGACCCGTTCGGAGCGGACCCGAACACTGACTGTTGCCCATGGCGGCCCTAGTGAGTATGAGGCGGGATTGGAGGTCCCGGCGGCCACATCCGTAGCCCCTCACTCACCATCCCACCTTCTCTCTCCGCAGGGCCCCAGCAGCCAGAATGTCACTGAGTATGTTGTCCGAGTTCCCAAGTAAGTCCCTGCCTCCACCCCCACAACAAGGAATCCGAACCTGCACGAGCTTGTGGGCGGCTGGCTCTACCTGCAGGCTGGGAGGGCCTTGAGCGCGGGGTGGGGTTGAGCTGAGGCCCTTCTGGGGCCATCACTGTTTTTGATAGAATCACTGTTTTTGAATGAATGAATGAATACATCACTCTGTTTGAGTGATTGAATGAATGAACGAACAAAGAGTGCGTACATTAATACCGGTTGTCCTCCATCGAGTCTGAATCATGGCGATCCCATGTGGGTCAGAGTAGAGCTGTGCTCCACCACAGGGTTTTCAATGACTGCTTTTTTTCAGAAGTAGATCGCCAGGCCTTTCTTCCATGGCGCCTCTGGGTGAAGTGGAACCTCCAACCTTTCAGTTCTCAGCCGAGTGTGTTACCTGTTTGCACCACCTAGCGACTCCGAGTACGTTAGGGCTAGCATTTGAGACCTCCTCTGTCCCACAGTCTGGCTGTAAGGACATATTCCTTGTCCTGCCTCAAACTGATCAGGCTTACTTTCATTTCCAGGCCTTTGTACATGCCGTTCTCTCTGTTAGAAATTTCTTTTCCCCAGCTGTGACTCCACAGGGTGGAATCTTGCTGACCATACCAGTTCTAGAGTTTTTTCTCATCCAGGAAGCCTTCCCTGCCTGCCCTCTCCCTTCCAGGGCCAAGTTCTCTATTTTCCCCACATTCTGTGTTCGCACAAATCTGTCCCTTTTGCTCTCCTGTGGCGTGGAGTTGGGAGAGTATGGAACTGGTGTCCCTGACAGACTGGGACACTGTATAGAATTTTTTATGTGTCCCCAGCAAGGAGTCCCCAGGTATTGCCAATGGTCAATGCTCTTGGCTGCTAACTGTAAAGCTGGAGAGTTGAGTCCACCCAGAGGCACCTCAGAAGAAAGGCCTGGTAATCTACTTCAGGAACCTTAGCTATTGAAAATCCTATGGACCACAGTTCTCCTCTGACACAGGAGTCACCATGAGTTGGAGCTGACTTGACAGCAGCTGGTTTCAGGCAGTGGTGGCTGAGTGGTAGAATTCTCGCCTTCCGTACAGGAGACCTGGGTTCGATGCCTGGCTAGTGCACCTCATGCACAGCAGCCACCTGTCTGTCATTGGAGGTTTGCATGTTGATACGATGCTGAACAGGTTTCAGCAGAGTTCTCACACTAGACACACTAGGAAGAAAGGCCTGGTGATCTACTTATGAAATCAGCCAGTGAAAACCATATGGATCATAACAGTTACCCTGTGGGGATGGTGCCCGACTGGGCAGCATTTCATTCCTTGTTCATGGGTCACCATGAGTTGGGGTCCAGCTCCCCGGCAGCTAACGACAGGATTGCTTGGCACAAGAGCTGAGCCGGGGTGGTTTGTTGAGTGAATGAATGAGCATGGCCGCCTTTTTGCCATTCTAGAAACACAACGAAGAGATACAACATCATGGCCTTTAACGCAGCCGATAAAGTCAGCTTCGCTACTTGGACTCAGGTAAGCCCCTGGCTGTGCAGCGGTGAGGGGGGAGAGCCTGACGCTGGACTTGCTGGTTGTCATCGCTGAGTCCCTAAGGCTTCGTTTCCTCAGCTCTGCCAGAGTGGAGATGGGTGAGGACTAAGACCCAGGCCGAGCTGCTGGGCGCCCTGGAGGTGGGACATGACAGACCCTGCAGGAGGCCTCCAGGAGCCTTCTCCTCAAAGGACATGGAGGAGCTGAGCCCGCTGGCAGGCAGTGGGGGGTGGGCTGGGGGCTGCACCCTGCAGACGGCCACAGAGCCCGCAGGCAGAGGCTGAGAAAGGCCTCCGGAAGCCGTTTGGGTTTTGTTTGTTGTTTGCCCATTTGATGTTGTTAGTTGCCTTTGAGTTGACCCCACGTTATGGTGATCCGTGTGTTACAGAGCAGAACTGCTCCACAGGGTTTCAGGGCCAACGCTGATGGGGGCCTGGAGGAAGTAGAGGTGATGACCTGGTTGGATTCGGATGTGGTTTGAAAGTGGAGCCAACGGGATTGGCGGGTGGAGTGGAAATGTGGGGCGAGGGAGAGAGAAGTTACAGATGATTCTGGTCACTGAGGAAGGGTAGTTCGTTGTCAGTTGCACTCAGTCAGTTCCATCTCCAGGCGCCCCCACCTGTGCGGGGAAGAACTGCTCCGTAGGGTTTTCAAGGCCGTGACCTTTCAGAAGCAGATGGCCAGGCCTGTCTCCCAAGGCGCCTCTGGGTAGATTGGAACCACCGATCTTCCGGCAGGTAGTTGAGTGCTTAACAGTTTGTGCCACCCAGGGACTCTTGAGAAGGTGTGGTTTGGATGGAATATCTGAGAATTCTGTTCTGGACGTTTTATGTTTACGCTGCTGGTTAGACGCGTGAGAGGAGATGAGCAAGCAGCTGGCTACATGAGTTGGGTGTTAGGGACGGGGGTGGGCATTCAGGGCTGGTGTTTACGTCACCAGGACGAGACCTGCTCAGCAGGGGGTTGGCTGAGGGTGGAGATGGAGTGGGCAGCCTCAGGCCTCCCGTAGCTGCTCCTCTTGTTTGCAGGCACGGTTGTCTTTAGACTTTGAAACTGTTGCTTCTTCCAGCTGAGCTGATGGAACTCTGAGAAGGGACAAGGACACTGCCCACCCAGACCTGGGCAGGTGGGTCATGGCCCAAGGCACCGTCTTCCCAGAGAGAAGGGCCACCATCCATTTGAAACTTTGGGGGAGCCTCAAGCTGCACACTTATGCACACACACACTTTCATCTCTCCATCGCCCCCCACATTCATGAACACTCACACTTTCCCCTCTCCATCCCCCCCCACACATGCACACTCACACTTTCCCCTCTCCATCCCCCCACACTCATGCACTCACACACGTTCCCCTCTCCATCCCCCCACACTCATGCACACTCACACACGTTCCCCTCTCCATCCCCCCCACACATGCACACTCACACTTTCCCCTCTCCATCCCCCCCACACTCATGCACACTCACACACGTTCCCCTCTCCATCCCCCCCACACATGCACACTCACACTTTCCCCTCTCCATCCCCCCCACACTCATGCACACTCACACACGTTCCCCTCTCCATCCCCCCCACACATGCACACTCACACTTTCCCCTCTCCATCCCCCCCACACTCA